TTCATTGAGGGAATGCATTTATTCATTTTATTCAATCTATTTATGTAATGATTGTGAAATATAAAATAAGATGAACTTGAAACTTAAAACCAGTGGCATAAATTGCCGTGTTTTTTTACACATTGACGTTACAATATCTGTTTCCGTTATTCACTAGTTCTATTCGTATCTGAAGTATAAGCTCATTACTCGAGACCACAGCCAGATATGTATATCGCTATGTATATGCATATATATATGTATATGTGTATGTGCATTTACATGTACATGTAAACAGGTTCCTATATTTGTATCATAGACCCTATAAATACTCTACTACACAAACTGCACTTTTATGTCTTCATCAAATATCTTTGACGTTTCATGATTTCAAGAAGCACTGACTATTATCATACGATGAAGTTTGAACAAAGTCTTTTGGTAATAAAGTAAGATTATATGATACACAATAAGAACAGATCGCCACATTCGTCATCTATGTGTGACCGGGCCATAATGTATGTTATTATGCATTCAATATATTTGTGTAATTTCGTTTATTAGCTTTTTAAAATTATATACACTTAAAATAGTGTATCAAACCATATTATATTCGTGAAAATGTATGATGAAAAAAAGAAAAAAGATGCAGAAACCAATAGATCAAATCAAATCAAATCAAATCAAATCAATTCAGTTTTCCACTCCCGCGCAAAGCGCGGAAGCCTCGCCGTTTCATTAAATTAAAACTCTTAATCCTTGTCTGAGTTTATTTTTCGCCGATCCCGTGCAAAGCGCGGAAGCTTTCTTACGTTTCATTAAATTATTAGAGAAAGAAGACGATTCGTTGTATCGTGTCCTTGTCTGAATTCAGTTTGCAGCAATCTGGTTTCCATTGTCTGACAACACACAAAACCTTACAATCATCACGGTACACATAGATTGGCATATTGCAAGCTTTGCATGGCACGCACACACATGAGCTGACTAGCCATCCGGGTAAGTTCAAAGTCCGACAAGACCCATGTACTATCAGCTGGTTACCACGCACCGCGCCGGTATCGAGTGTCGCGAGTATTATTGGGTGGCGTGCCAGCTAGGAATACATGGATTTTGTGAAAGAAAGTTTAAAAATAACACTAACAAGCGTCATTTGTGGCTGTCGGCTGTGTGACAATTTCGTAAAAGAAGCATAATGATATACATCAAATATATCATACCAAAAACAATTGCAGAGGGTGCAACCCCTCTTCCCATGCAGGGCCATGCACATACATATATAAACATACATATTAATGTCCAGATATCTCCTCGGAGATCGAGAAAAATACACAAGAATATAAGAAATAATAATGTTCCGTACACGCAGAAATTGTTTTAAAAATGTTCGCTCTTAGGGCTATATATATGTCAAGTAATGATTTTATTTAACTTTCAAAAATATTATCGTTATGCATCAAAATATGCGCATCCTATCCCCATAAATGCGCCAAGGTGCAAGGAGAGGGGACACGAATAATTACGTCACAAAGAAATATGAAGGAGTTTCCAATGAAAAGGAGTTTGATGTGATTTCTGTTATAAAAAATATATAAATAAAATTAATGATTGTTTGTGTACAAGTCAATATGTATTATGCTGCGGGACTTCGCCACTAGGAGGCGCTGTCCAGTGAGACTAATCGTAGGTATAATCTTCTTTCCTCTGTTCTTTCCGTTCATAGTAGAAATACTAATCACCCTTTCCCGATGCTGGGTTGTATATAACGTGATAAAAACAGTTCTCTAATATCAATTTTATATCCGCACATTCTCTCAGTCTATATGTATATCACGTCTATTCAAGTTCTCTCAATCATGTATACCGCTTATTATCATGTTTTAGATACATCATTTAAAATGTCTCTGCCTTTATCAGCTTTTTACAATCTGTTACTTTTTATTTCTTCTATTCAAATCCACTTACCTTTTGTATTTCTATGTCTTAAAAGTCTGTCACTTTATTATCTTCTCATATTCTCTCACTCTTTTGTGTTTCTCTCTTTCAAATCATCTCACTCCCTTTCATTAAGCAATTCGCTCCCTTTACCACCTTCGCTTATTTTTGTAATCTTTATCTGAGTCTTCCTTTCAAATTGAATCACTCTATCATACATCTCTTTCATGACAAATATATCTCACTTAAAATCAATATCTTCTCACATTATCTCACTCGTTATCTCTTCCTTTCGAGTTTTCTCACTAAATTATACATGTCTTTCCTTACAACTTCTCTCAATTTCTCCTCTCCACTCTTTCTTATGTGATGTGTATCTCTCTTCTTCTTACTCAAACAAACACAATTGACAGGATAGTAATTGAAACTAGATTATTACACGTCAAACAAACATTTAATCACTAATGCTACTATTTCAATGACTTTAGAAAATGAATCATCCTGTAACATGGCAACTCCCATCGTATCAAGTTTGCATATTTACATCGGCTTTACTTACATTAAGTATAATGATTAACTTGTAAAATAATAGTTATATTCACAGCAAAAGTAATAATAATGTTAATGATAATAATAATAATAATAACAGCAATACTGATAAAATAAATATTCTTATCAAAATGTAAGGCACCCATCAATTTGATTCTTGTTTTTTAAATATCTTTTAACTTGCTCTTTTTTCATTTGCAGACCCATTCACTATTAAACTAAAGTTTGCCCTTTTACCCTCACCATTAACAATATTTCCACGATGCATTATTTTATGATAAAGATGGTATATATTAATCTTGCCTTCATTATTAATAAAGCTCTATTTTATTTATTTATTTATTTATTTATTTATTCGGTTTAAAAACATCAACACGTAAAGTTCAGGAACTCATAATGGTTGATTTACAATGAAATTGAATAGTGTAAACAAAATTGAACCAACAAATATACACTTAAGAAGAACATATTGTTTCACACACATGAAAATATGGTTACAATACAATATACAACGGCTGGCTAGATGTGGCTAGACCAAGGCGAGATATGACAAGGAAATCGAAAAGAAGATAAATGACTAGAGAGAGAGAGAGAGAGAGAGAGAGAGAGAGAGAGAGAGAGAGAAGAAGCGGTGAGAGAGAAAGAGAGGGACAAGAAAGGGGAGGGTAGAAAGAAAAAGAGAGAGGGGAGGGAAAGAGAGGGGAGGGGAGATACGGAGGGGAAGTGAGGGAGAGAGAAGTAAGAGAGAGGAAGAGAGAGGAAGAGAGAGGAAGGTAGAAAGAGAGAGAAGAGAGAGGGAGAGAGTGAGGTATAGAAAGAGAGGGCGAGAGAGAGGATAGAGGAGAGAGAGAAGAGAGAGAAAAGAGGAGAGAGAGAAGGGGATAGAAGAGAAAGAGAGAGAGAGAGAGGGAGGAGAGAAAAAGAGAGACATGGAGAGGGAGGGAGAGATAGAGAGAGAGAGAGAGAGAGAGAGAGAGAGAGAGGAGATCTTTAAAAGGCAAATTAAGAAACAAGGTAGATAAACGTAGCATTAAAACATTAAAACATTTCTTATACACATCTACACAGGAGAAGGCGCACCGGAGCGTTCAGAGAAGACAACAATGGATTGGCCTGCAACGCATCGTCGCGTCCGCTCCGAAGGCCACGGTACGTGCGGCTGCACATGATGGTCAACATTTCAGCATTTTCAAGAAATTTAGAGTAGCTAGAATGTACAGGCAATTTGGCAGTAAATAGCAAAATATAATCAATACCCTTCCCGACAATGTTGTGCAAAACATATAAAGCTAATTGTTAAAGAGTTGACACCTCTATTAATTAATGGAAAAACCCGCATTTCTTCAATATTCTGGATCAGAAAAATACAGCTATAATAAAGTATTGCACCTTGTAGTGGTTCTAAAGAGTCACAACTAGGATGTGAAGCTAATCGCTAAGTTGACACCTCTATTAATGGAAAACCCGCATATCTTCAATTTAACGAATCAGAACATACGGCTATAATAAAGTATTGCACCTTGTACATGTATCAGGTCTAAAGATTCTATAAAATAATCTTCGCATTCGCTTTTAAAATGTGTGTTTCTTCCAGGTCATGATCGGTCATGTTCACGTTTGATATTTTGATACTAATGGTTTTACTCTTTTACACAAATCTGGCACAAGTAGATGTTGACATGGCATTTAAAAAACAATGTTGCTCAGTGAAGCGTGTGTAGATTAATGTAATCAATGTATCATTGGAAAGCATATTACTTTTACTCTATGAAAGCAAAGCATCTTATTATACACCTATATTTATTCACAATATCTATTTGTTTTCGAGTTTCATCTTTTCTGGGACGCAGTGTATAGTTAATAATTTATAAACCGAGCATATTACTTTATATTATCTCATATTTTACACTACATCCATATTCATTTTACCTTAAGTTTGGAAGATAAAATATTGACTTTTGTCTTTCGTTATTCGTTTGCCTTGTCTTGAAATACTTATATGACACGATGTCATGTATTGTAATAGTTTTAATGGAAGGAATGCATCTATTCATTGGATTCTATTTATTTAGGTTATGATTGTATATGATAGAATAAAATAAACTTGAAACTTAAAACAAGTAAATAAAGTCATAAACTGCCGTGTGTTTTGACATATTGACGTTACAATATTTATTTTCGTTATCCACTAGTTCTAGTCGTATCTGAAGTATAAGCTCATTACTCGAGACCACAGACAGATATGTATATGCATATGTATATGTGTATGTGTATTTACATGTACATGTATAAGTAAGTATAATTATGTATACAGGTATGTATATTTGTATCATGGACCCTATAAATACTTTACTACATAAACTGCACTTTTATGTTGTAATCAAATATTTTTTGACGTCTCATCATTTCGTGAAGCACTAACTATTACTATACAATGAAGTTTGAATAAAGTCTCTTGGTAATAAAAATGAGATTCTATAAAACACAAAAAGAACAAACCGCCACTGATTCTAGTCATTAATATGACTATTTTCGAATTGCTTGAATGTAAAGATGAAAAGTGCTCCGTCTTTTAAACACCATAAATTAACACCTCCGTAACAATCCTTTCAGTGCTCTTCGTTTGAAAATTAGTGCATGGAACGACAAAAAACCACAAACTTGAACATTCATACAGCTCCGATAGACTTATACACACAATGACAAAGCAACGAAAACCTGATTTTACATGTATCCAGTGGTGCAACCAGGCGGTATGAAAAATTGAAAGAAACAACTCCAATTTTTATATCCCTATACTTCTTTCTCGCATATGAATCTATTTATCCAGGAGCAATACCAATCATGCCATCCACTATATTGACCCCCACACTTAATACTAAAACAGTTTCCATGATCATTGAACGAACCATCGCTAAAATTATTATATGTAGGACTTGATCCGTCTAGCCACCTTGCCTCACTGGGACTTGAGCCGGTCAGCCCGATCCAGTAGTAATTGTACTGACCATGCTCCATGATCATGAAGTTCTCTTCCTCTTGCGACTCGATGAAGACCAGATGGGATCCGAATTGGGAACAAGCTAAAACCGCAGAAGCATGATCCATCCAGCGAGTGCTGAAATTGTAGGACGACCCGCCGAATTCACAATCCACCGGAGGGGATGAGCATGCTGAAAAGATGAAAATACAATATGTAAATTACTCAATTTTAAGAAAGTAGACAAAGTGGTTATTTGGGTATAGAAACTGAAATATTTAAAGAAAAAAAGATAATGATGATAATGATGACGAAAATAATAATAATAATAAAAGTCGATGCAAAGACATGAACAAAATTACATCTATAAAAAGCAATACCTACAGGAACTTTGCTCACCATCGCAGATAGCAATGGTATTTTATACAGTTATTTTTGTTTTTATGAATGAAACATAGGGAGGAGGGGGGAAGGGAGAGAGCGAGAGCGAGAGAAAGAGAGAGTGAGAGAGGCAGACAGACAGACAGAGAGATAGAGAGAAGGGGAAAGTGGTAGTGGCAAGACTCATTATAATGATGATCAAATGCATGACGTCAATGTATTGTTTCTATTACTCAGACTCAGATAAAGACTGAAAGAGTGACAATATTAATAGGCAATTTATATAGCATCTATCTAGACAACTATATTCCGAGGCGCACTAATAATTAACCCGGCTTTAGCCTTGCTGCCATTACGGCGCTCCAGTATTTCAAGGAATTAATTCCTACCAGGTACCCATTTACCTCACCTAGGTCGAGTGCGGCAAAGGAAGATTAGTTGCCATTAGGCATTACGGCGCTCTATTATTTCAAGGAATTAATTCTTACTAGGTTCCCATTTATCTCATCTGGGTCGGGTGTGGCAAATGGAGATTGATGCCTTGCCAAAGGACATTAATGCCGTGTCGCGGATTGAACCACGACCTTTGAATTTCAAGTCAAATGCTTAAACCACTCGACTGACACACAAAGATGAAGAGAGAGCGAAAGAGGGATGGAGGGGTGGTCGGTGAATAGGGAGGGGAGAAAGAGGTAGAGGGGGAGAAAGAGGGAGAGGGGGAGATAGAGAAAGAGAGGGAAGGTGTAGTTGCTTGAAACATTATAATAATGATCGAAAGCATGACATCATTTCATTGTTTCTCTTACTTACTGGAGGCGGTGGTTTCTTGCGATGTCGTTGTGGCTGACACCGTGGTCATAGGCCTCGTAGCCGTCTTGGTCGCCACGTCCGTAGTCGATAATTCTGCTGACTCTAAAACGTTTGAAGGTTGTTGCAAATGAAACCACACTTACAAAGCAATATGATTAGGAATGACAACCTGAACATGATTACAGAAGGCCAAAACAAAGAAAATTGTGCTCCATGACAACATATAAATTGTATCAGTCTATTTATTTCATGTGGTATTATTTGTGTTTGTAGATTTAGTGATGCTTTGTCAAAGCCCATGAATTTTACCAAATAATTTATCTAAATGTGTTTGTTGTCATTAAACTCGTGGGCGAACGAATGAGACGGGCGCCCGTGACAGGAAAGGGATAAAGGCTGAGAGAGAGAGAGAGAGAGAGAGAGAGAGAGAGAGAGAGAGAGGGGAGAGAAAGAGAGAGAGAGAGAGAGAGAGAGAGGGGATTTTTAATTATTTTTTTTACTTGAGGTGGTGGTTTCTTGCGATGTCGTTGCCTCTGATCGTTCTGGCATCGTGGCCGTAGGGCTCATCGCGGACTTGGTTTTCGCTTCCGTTGTCACCGACTCTGAACGGAATAAAAAATAAAAAATAAAATTAATTAAAAAATTAATTGAGTGGGACAAAAAAGGAGCCGGAGTCAGGTATTGATAGGGGATCAGACAGACAGAAACAAAGAACATGCAAAGAGGGAAGAAGAAGAACAACAACAACAACAACTAAAACCTGGTCGTTAAATTTATAGACAAAATGTAAATTTAAAAATTTGACGGGCACTAGCTGCCTCCTTATAAAGTGTTTGATTGACGCTCATGAAAGAATGACCAAATAAATAAATAAGACTAGAACAAACAAGAATTAGACGGTCACTTCCCCCTTAAAAAGTGTTTTAGCGACGCCCAGAAAGGAGTGAAAAATAGAGTCAGATATAGACCGAGAGAGTGGGAGAGAGAGGGAGAGAGAGAGAAGGGGGATATAGTGGCTAGACCCATTATGATATTATGATCAAAATAAATGCACGACGTAGACATACTAGACGTAGTGGTGTTTTGGGAAGTCGTTGTGTATGAGCGTTCCGATATTGTACTCGTAGGGCTCATCGTAGGCTTGGTCGTCGCTTCCGTCGTTGACTGTATGATCACTGAAAATACCAAATAACAACAACAAATAAACATAACTGAGATAAATGACGATGCATAACATTATTTTCATTGAAATATCTCCCCGCCGGCTGTCTCCACGCGCTCTTAGTCAGGGTACGGGGATAAGGTCAAGAGCGGAGGCGGGGGGGGGGGGGGGGGGGGGAGCTGATAAAAATCGGAGAAATATTTTCCCGGTGGGACTCCCAATTCTATGAAATAGCACCGAAAGAGGGCAGTGATGTACTTTCTTTTTAATCATTATCATCCTCTTCTTCTTCTTCTTCAGTTGCAGTACCGGCAAACGTCATGTATTGTCGTACTGGTGAGGTGCAGTGCAGAATGTATGTACAATTTCTGATAAAAGATACAGCAAACTCTTTGCTCTTTGCTCATTCATTGGCCACTCATTAATTGCTCATTAATTGGCCCGATACTATATTATATTACACCTACTTTCATCGCAGTGTCTCCCTTGAAACCCACTTGAGCAGGTACAGTTGTAGCCTACCATAGTCTCTTCACACCAGCCGTTGTTACAGAGGTTTTCGTTACAATCTGCGAAATAAGTTATAAACAGGATAATACTCATTATCATATATATAAATATAAATATATATATATATATATAAAGCTTCCAAGTGGTACAATGAATCAGTGTATTTAATATCTTTAGCGTAGTGCCCAGATGACAGATCCATATATGACAGAAAATAATAATAATATTGTATGGCTTTGTTTACGTGTGATACAAGAATATATTGCTATTACAATATTGGACTCGTCTGCGACTGGTCCAATATTGTGATAGCGATAGCAATATATCGACGAATCCAATATCGTAAACTCGTCTGCCGTTTCACCGTTATCAAACGAAATACCAACCAATATAATTATAAACCATCAATAATTAATACTCAAATCACCCATTAGCCTGAAATTAAATATCAATGAATTTGCTATTAATGGATTGCCAGTCAGTCTTCTCGCTCTTTTGAATAGTCTTCTAAATAAACGATAGTTGTTACTTTTCGGCTGGAACGATTCAGTTTCACAATCTAAATAGGTTTTACAAATTAGGATGGCATTGTCACTGGGTCGAAAAGAGTGTTAGTTCCCTGAAATATCTTCGACATTCGATTGAGTTAAAACATAACAAAAATATAAGATATTCTTCTTGTCATGATGGGACAATAATTTTGTCACATACATTTTTATTATCATTATCATAATTACTATTATTGTTGTTCTTGATATCATTAATGTTAGCATAATAATCATTATCATTATTATATTATTTTATCATCATTGTTACTAATATTAATTTTATAATCATACGTATTCATATTATCATCATCTTCATTACTATTATCATATTTTTTCATCGTTATTATTACTATTACATATTATCATAATTGTTATTGTTAGTAGTAGTAGTCATCGTAGTGTAAGTATTAATATACGTAGCAGTAGTAGTAGTAGTAGTAGTAGTAGTAGTAGTAGTAGTAGTAGTAGAAGTAGTAGTAGAAGTAGTAGTAGAAGTAGTAGTAATAGTAGTTGTAGTAATAATAGTAGTAGGAGTAGTAGCAGTAGTATAAGTAGTAGAAGTAGTAGTAGTAGTAGTAGTATTGTTAGAAGTAGTAGTAGTAGTAGTAGTAGTAGTAGTAGTAGTAGTAGAAGTAGTATTAGTAGTAGTAGTAGTAGTAGTAGGAGTAGTAGTAGTAGTAGTAGTAGTAGTAGTAGTAGTAGTAGTGATAGTAGTAGTAGTAGTAGTAGTAGTAGTAGTAGTAGTAGTAGTATTAGTAGTAGTAGTAGTAGAGGTAGTATTAATAGTGGGGTAGAGGTAATAACAGAAGTTGTAGTAGTAGTTGTAGTCAGACGCGTACGCAGGGGGGGGGTGTTTGGGGGGGTTAAACCCCCCTTTGGTATTTCTATGTGTGTAAACCCCCCTAATAAATCCCTAAACCCCCCCCCCCCCCCTTTGGATTTTTTTTTGTTTTTTTTTTGTAATTATTAAAAAAAAACTAAAAAAAACCCATGGCTGACCGAAGAAAGGTGACCTTACCCCCCCCCCCCCCCCAACGGAGCAAAATGTCAAATTTTCAAATTTCGAGACCAAAAAAAAAAAAAAGTGTCCGCTTACCCCCCCCCCCCCCCCCCCCCCCCCCCCCCCACCTCCCCCAACCAAAAGTTGTTCAATAGATTGACCTCTGAACAGGCAGGGAAGTGGGACTGAAAAAAAACCCATGGCTGACCGAAGAAAGGTGACCTTACCTCCCCCCCCCCCCCCCCCAACGGAGCAAAATGTCAAATTTTCAAATTTCGAGACCAAAAAAAAAAAAAGTGTCCGCTTACCCCCCCCCCCCCCCCCCCCCCCCCTACTGAGCGACTTTTTGGCCGGCGCGATTTTCAAATTTTTCTGAGTCGTTTCGAAATTTTGGACCCGATTTAAACCCCCCCCCCCCCCCCTTGAAAAAATCCTGCGTACGCCACTGGTTGTAGTAGTAGTATTAGTAGTTGTAGTAGTAGTAGTATTAGTACTAGTAGTAGTAGTAGTAGTAGTAGTAGTAGTAGTAGTAGTAGTAGTAGTAGTAGTAGTAGTAGTGGGGTAGAGGAAATAATAGAAGTTGTAGTAGTAGTAGCAGTAGTAGTAGAAGAAGTTAGGAGTTGATATCAAACTTTAATGATATCACTGAAGTCCGTGTTATCTGCATGTAGATTTATTGATTAAACAAAGAAACGATTTTGACATATGAGAATAAACATGAATACAAAATGAAACCTACACGGGATTCTGCATATTCTATGCCCGCCCGGGATCCCTTCTTTACTCTTCCTTTGGTGGCACCCGCCGATGACAGAAGGGAAAGGGATGAGTTTGGGGATGCTCTGCACCATGCTGCCATCGCGGAGTCGCATCATCTTACACTTTTGGAACATGGGCAAAGTGTAATTTAGGCCGTACCAGTCTGAACAAGATGTCCTATCCGATAACACAGGCAAGGCTGTGAAGAATATATTAGAACATTAATTGCTATTTGTTTTCTCCCTCCTCCTACGCCTCTTCTCCTCCTGCCTCACCTCCTTCTTCATGACCTCCTCTACCTCCCTCTTCCTCTTGCTCCTCCTCCTCCTCCTCCACCACATCCTCCTCCTCCTACCAGCCCTGCTACTTCTCTCCACCCCCTCTTCATACTCCTCTTCCTCCCCATTGCTCCTCTCCTACTCATCCTCATATAGCCCTCATCGAGCCTAATCATCATTCCCTTCCCTCCCTTTACCGCTCCTCCTCGTCCTTGCCTTAAACCCTCTTCTCAATCTTGAGGATGCAGGTTTTTTAACATATATTTTGAAACATTTATTAGAGAGACTTTTTTCGGATGTGTTTTTTGGTTTGAGATGCCATGTTCATCAGGTCAAGTTTGAGGGCATAAATCCTTGTCAATGGTTGTGTCTGCAAATCGTGACTATACTATTGGCTGTGTATACTTCACCTGCTTGTTTTGATACAGCCAGAAACAGGCAGATCTACGCTCTGCCCAAGGATTTATGAATTGTGATAAAGTGTCAAAATCAGTCTGTGCTTGCAGACTAACTTAGGTTTTTCACTTCGCTCTTATTTCGCTTTATTGTGGAAATTTTGTAAGCCAGCTATGTTTTTGCAATATTCAAAAAATATTACGGATATGTTAAGTTAAAAAAAATACTTACCGAAGGACAAGCAGGTTACGGTACCAAGCAGCAACTTCAAAAATACACCTATCTTTGGGTCTTTAGCCTGTATTTAGAAAAATATTAATATTTTTTAAATCAGCAAGAACAAGAACAAACAACAACTGAATAAGTTACTATGATGAGCATTTTGAAATGGATGATAATGGTAATACTGATAATGGTGATGATGATGATGATGATACGAGCAATTACCGTTACTTATACAACACATACATGTTCCACTAACGTAATTGATGAGACTTTCACATCTGTCAACGAGATTTTATAAAGGTTTCATTGGCCAATTTCGTAGTTTTTCCAGCAAATTTGATAAAACGTTCGTTCAATTTATCGTAAACACTATTTTTGGTGGAGACTGTCATTTACTTTAGGGGATTGGGCAGGTTTGTAAAAACAAATTTACCCAGGGGGAAGCAGGTTTTTGAGACATGGAATGTCGTTAAAGGTCGGGGGTATCAACGTGTGGAGGGAACCCCCCTGCACCATTTCTAAGTGGACTTCCTTGAAAATATACTGCTGGAACAAAAAATGGCGGCCATTTTCCAAAAATACTGTTGAACTATCTTTGAGATCACTTTTTACCATGTGTGAGATGTCATATGAAAAAGAATTAAATTTCATACGGGGTGATAACACATTTCATGAAAAATGTTCTTTGATACATATCATCATAAGTGATCTTTTTTGCATTTGGATTTCGTTACCTTTGAGTTTTCAAAGGTTACGAAACCGGTATTCGAGATAAAGACCTTATGCTCCTTACGTATGTGAAATGGCGCAGCGGTCAGACAGAATTAAAATAATCATGAGACAAATTAGTAAACTGTTCAAAACAACGTAAAGGTTATCCTATGTATTGATACAAGATAATGTGAAAGCTTAACTACATTGCATCATTTTAAACAATGAAGCACCAAATCACGAGGCAAAATTTAACTTTTAAGCATTATGCACAATGGCCTGACTCAAATTCGTTCCATCAGCCCAAACTTGGTACAAGGTAAAACTTTTTAAAGACCGTGGTGCTTATTCACTGCGGGAGGAATATTATGGATAGGCTATCATTTGAAAGAAAATTACTTACTTTTCATCATGAACAAAATTTCAAAGTCATATTA